GTTTTTTTTTTCCCTGAAGGTAGAAAATATTCCTGACATTTTATTTGCTGTTAATGAAGAGCTTGGGCTGAAGGAATCTTATTTTTTCAATTAGCAGTAATTGCAAAAATACACACTGTTCTCAAAGCTCTGACTTCACCTTGGCTTGATTTAACTTCCCCTATTCCTGTATCACCCTGCTGATGCTTTTGTACCATTCTCTGTGCTTAACATGTGCCTAAGCTTAGTTTGTCATCTGGGTCAATTATGTCAAAATATTTTCCTATTGAAGTTTCCTCTGCTTTTTCCTTCAGCTCTTGGCTGTGGCAGATCAAACAGATTAATGAGACTTGGAAAAGCCAACTGTTTTGCTTTGTGAAGAACTGTCATTGAGTTTTGGGAAGATACTTTAGCCTTTTGGTGGGGATTTCAGTGGGCAGAAGCATGAAATAAGAAAACTTGGTGCCTGTAGCTAGTTAAGGAAAAAATTTAAGATGAAAAATGAAGAAGCATTGTGGTTTTATGAGAAACTCTGGCAAATGTTTGATGAAATTTCCCAAAAGATCCATAGTAACACATTCATAGTAACTTGTAAGTTAATTGCAGATAGTAAAACTAACTGTATTTGAAAATTTGTTTAACATTTTTAACAAAGGATAACAATTTGGGATACTTTAATGAACTCTTAATCTGGAGAAGAGGAGGCTCAGGGGAGACCTTAGAGCAGCTTTCCAGTACTTAGATGGGGCTACAAGAAATCTGGAGGGTGACATTTTACAAGGGCATGTAGTGACAGGACAAGGGGGAATGGCTTTAAACTGACATAAGGGAGATTTAGATTAGCTATTAGGGAGAAATTCTTCCCTGTGAGGGTGGTGAGGCCCTGGCACAGGTTGCCCAGAGAAGCTGCTGCTGCTCCATACCTAGCAGTGCTCCACCCCAGGTTGGATGGAGCTTGGAGCCACCTAGTCTAGTGGAAGGTGTCCCTGCCTGTGGCAGGGAGGTGGAACTGGATGAGCTTTAAGGTCCCTTCCAACCCAAACCATTCTGTGATTCTATGGTTATGGCTGATATTTTAATGTCTGTTTGATCACTTCTACTTTGCACGTGACAAAGAAGGAATTGCATGTTTTCTGTTGTAGAGTAATAATCTGTAGGATGTGCTATAAATTCTCTAATTAATTGGATTTTTAAAAATATGAACTGTTTCTGTAGCTAAAATGGCTCAGTGCGTCTGTGTTAGAGCCCAGAACCTTGCATGTGTTTAAATGGCATTATTTTTGAAGAGAGCATGCAGGGCTGTATGCTGAAGAAATCTGGAGCTGTGTCCATCTAGCTCAACAAACTTCAGGGCGTAGCTTACCTGATTGTCAAAATAGTAAAGAAATTGTATACAGAGGGATGTCACCAACTAGATTTCTGTTATATTGAAAGTCGCTACCCTTGCATTTTCATGTGGAAAAAATTTGCAAGTGGTTTTAAGCACTGCTTAGAAAAACTACTGATACTCCAACTTCAGGGATAACCAGATGTTCCTCTTGTAGTTGAAGAACACCCTGAGAACTTCTGTCATAACCATGTGTACACAAGCTTATGTGGCAGCCTGTATACAAGGATCTTATTTTTGTGCAGTTAGAGAGCTTATTCTGATCATATTTTAAATATAAGGAATCTTCTTTTATTCGTGCTTTTTTATTAAAAAAAAATAAAACAGGCATTAATACAGACCATAAACAAGTGGAAGTTTTCATCATGTAAGGGAAGCATTTCTTGTAAATGAGGATGGGATAGTGTTTAAACATCATACCTGGGAACTATTTCTACTTTTCAAGTTGGATAAATAAAACTCAACAGTGTAGAGTGGGCCAAATTGGCAGTTTTTATACTATTAGTCTCACATGGCTAAGCTACAACTACTTCTGCCAATTTCCTGCTTCAGGTCTTTATCTGATTTTGGAGTCATTGTGCAAATGACCAGAAAGAACAGGTTTTAATTCTTCACATCCCTTTGTATGAAAGATGGGTTGTTGCAGATGCTATGTATCATTAGACTGGACCATTTGTTACAAGCACCTCTTGGTCAGTATATCCACAACTATAAACAGCTTTTAAAGGCAGTATTACGCTCACCTCTGTGCCAAAAAATGATGTTTCGACAAATGGCAACTTACTGACTAGTTTAGCATTGAAAAATAATAATCCCCCCACCCCAGTGTTTTTTGAATGGCCTTCAACTTCCAAGAAACCTTCTTAAAACAAGAAGGTGAGCTTTGTGAAAATTAGAAGCAGTGTCAGCTGTCAGCAGGTGACTCTGCAACAGCCTATGCACTGCTGCCCGTACAGTTCTGTCTTTTGGAAGAATGGCCATCAGTCTTTGCTAAAGGACAGTCCATTTGCAGACAGGGTAAGGCAGACGTTCAGCTCAGGAGGGACCAGAGCTAACCCAGTTTAATTGCTACATCCAGCTTCTTTGAACATTTCAAGGTTTTGTGTTGTGGTTTTAAGTGTTTGCATGAGATGAAATGTATATGGATTCCTCCTCTTTTGTGCGTGCTTTCTCTTAATTTGAAGTCTTTCCCTTTATTGCAATATGTAACAAGAGCTCCAAGCCACTTGTAATAAAATACATGGTCCTCAATGGCAGTTTTGGTGTCACTCATGAGTGGTGAACAAGGAGACCATCAAATCGGTTTTTGCAAAAATTCCCCATGAAGAAGCACAGGTCATTACTTCATGGAGTCAAAACTTCACGTCAAAGCTTACAGCAAAACCATATATTCAAAATAATTCTCATTGGAAACATTTTAAACAGTAGTTATTGCTTTGATGTTGCCTTGGTCATATTTTAATGCTTAATTAAAAATAAAACTCCAAGCATCTGAAATTATATTGTACCTTAAAGCTCAAAGAGAGTAGTTTTGGTTTTAAGCAATTGTTTTTACTCAGGCAAAAGAAAAGAAAATATCAGGCTATTTGATGTTGTGTCATACTGAAGGAGTACACTGTTGGCACTGATATGTATATGGTATTGTTTTCCGTGAGAATACTGATGTGAATAAAAATTACTTAGGAGAATAAGAACATGAAGGAAAAGGTCCACAGAAAAAGTAAAATCTGTTACTGTGGGTAGGATCTGCAGAGGTTTGCTGGTGTGTCATCTCAGTTTAACAGATAGCTAGACAGGAAGACTGTGCCCTTGTTTCTGAAGGTTTTGTTAGGTCCATGCTATTTGATTCTTCATCTGCACTAAACCTGATGAATGGCCAGGGCCTGGAGCAGCTAGATGCTGTCTCTTAAGCTGCAAGCCTGTTCCGCACTAATGCTTTACTTTCCTCATGTTTAGCATCCACAGTGGGTAGTAGAAAAGGACTTTGTGTTTCTCTCTCTTACTTTGTTTTTTTTTTTTTTCTCTCTTTCTTTCCTGCATCCATTAGTTATATATATGAATAATTCTGTTTCATGCAAGTATCCAACAGACTCGAATTCTGAAGTTGTTGAAAGCCTGCAGGTGACGCTTCAGCTACTGCAGCAGTTGCTGTAAGGATGGATGTTGATGAAAGGAAGCAATGCTAGTTGTTTCATTTACATTTCCTATGGGTGAGGCATGCAGTGCTGCTTTTCCAACGCTTAAAACAATTGCTTTTACCTGTGTGGTACTATAGGTCTGGCTGCTGCAGTATCTTGCCTGGTCCTGTGGATAATGGACAAGTCTTTGAAAATAAATAAAAATAGTGGCCTAGCCTGGATGCTTTGCTGATATCAGATGACTTGTGCTTTTTCCCATACATATGCACAGGTACTTTCCAGTGGTGCCAGTATCAAGATAAGTCAGTCCATTAACTGTTATTGTAAGAGTGAAAATCAGTATGGAGAGAGGAGACTGCAAAAAACAGTGTGCTGTATTTTCAGAATAGCGAATCTGTATTCTTCTGATCTGGGTACAAAGACCAGATGTCCCCATTACAGAGGGGTTGTAACAGAAGCTCTGTCACTGCCAATGTATAAATGTACATTTGCCATAGTCTTGATTCTAACATGCCTGCTGTTTAAAGCTGCCTTGCTGCTCTGCCCCTTGTTACTTGAAGGTACTTGCAGCTGTGAAGCATGGGAAGTGTTGGGTTTTCTGACTGCGAAGAAGGGTGTAGTTTCTGCTGGTGAAACGATGAGGACACCTGTTCCCTGGAAAACAGATTGAAGCCACTGGCTCTTTTTGTTCATGGCACAGATAATTGTCAGTCGTTGTGGCTGCAGGGCATGTTTGATGCAAACCAGGCTGAAGTCAATGAGTCATTACCAGTCCCAGGAGACTCTTAGTCCCATGAGGAAGCATTATTTAAGCAGCCTATCCTACAGGGTATAGCAGGACAGAAAATACTCCAAGAATTCTCCATTGTTTTTCTTTTTATAATTGTAAATACTTGCTCAAGGCCTGAACACTAACCCTGTGGTCTGCAGACACTGAGCAGCTTTCTTACTGGGGATGGACCGAGATCCTCATGGATGGGTGTTGGGTGTGCTGGTATGGTGGCAGCTTCTTTCTGGGCCTGCAAAATGTCAAGTTCAAAGAAATGCTGTTAAACATTGGTTTAAGTCACTGTTTTGGTGCTTAGCTGGGCAGGATATATGTTGAGAGTGCAAGTAAGCACTTTTTGGTGGTTCCTCTTTCTGCCTGATTTACCTTGTTACTGTTGTTGAGCCAACAACTTTTAAGAGCCCCAAATTCTCTGTGTGTGTGTTTGGTTTTTGGTAATTCAGTTTCTTATGAAAGGACTAGGAAAGTATTATGATAAGACTAACTTACATGCATAGTTACAGGCATGCACAGTGCCATAACAAATGGAGGAGCACTTGGTACAGGTAGAAGGTAAGTCTAAAAATACACAAATAGGACTTGCAAGTGACAAATTATCAAAATTCCTTGTAACAGCACATCGGTAATGTAGCACTGGCAGATGTCTCAGTCATTTTATTGATAAATGTAATGTGGAATTTTATATTTTCCATTTTTTTTAACTTTGCAGGGACCTGAGCTGATGAATAAATATGTTGGTGAATCTGAACGAGCAGTGAGAGAGGTGAGAAGGGGCAAAGCATACGTAATACTATATGTTAAACATTCTTGACATTGAAATTCTTCTCTGCTTATAAAGTTACCTTTAAACTTTAAAAAAGCCCAACTTCTTATGGTTTAAATTTGAAAAAGAAAAGAAGCAGAAGGGATGTTTTGTGTTGTTTAACTTTGTCCTGTGTTGGCCTAGTGATGAATGTTGAATTTGGGATCCAGTAGCAGCTTTAACTGTATGTCTGCATTGGGCAGTATCATGAATAACTTCTAAAACATCTGTTCTTTTGTTTTTTATAAAAGACAACAAGGCTTATGTCTGGTTTGTGATGCTCTGTAGCTTTTGAGGTGTGCACAGGGTGATAGTATTCTGTAAAAAGTTTTCCATTCCCTAGAACTCAGTGTTTTGTTGTTGTTTTTCTAGATATTTAGGAAAGCCAGAGCGGTGTCTCCTTCAGTTCTTTTCTTTGATGAAATAGATGCCTTGGCATTTGAAAGGGGCAAGTAAGTTATCCTGTTACAAAAATCATAAGATGTTTTCTGATAAATGATTCTTACGTTGTGCAACCACATTACTTTTCTAGAATTATTTCGTTAAATATATTAATTTCACAGCATTTGTCAATTCTACTCGAGCGTATTTAACTTGGCATAAACGGGTAAGCTGGTAGAGTTCTTCCTTTCTCATCTCATTAGGAATGATTCTACTGGTTCTCATGCCATTTGGCTCTTTTCTGTGGTTTTAGCTTGCATTTATTTCTAGCAAAGAACTCCTTTTTTTTTTCCCAGGCTTGGTGCACTGGCCTAATATAGTGTCTCCATCAAGCAAACAGTATGATCATATGTTATATGAAAGGAATTTCCGTGGAGGCTACTCATAGCCACTTACATTAAAACATTTTGCCAGACTGGGAAGAACTTCATGAAGAGATTTGGGAACATTTTTAGGTGCTTTCATGTGTGACATTAAAAGGGGGTTATTGTGCAAGCAGCTAATAATGTGTTTGTTTTGTTTTTTTTTTAATATCCTGCTTTGTAATGATACTGAGAGATGTTTAGCTCGTCTGGAGGAAGATTATACCTGGTTTTACTTGCTACTGTAGCATTTAAGATTTGACAGGCTTGGTTAGTGGTCTTTCTTGGGGGATACCTTCTTATAATATTTATAATGTTGTTATAAAATACCACTACTTGTGAGCAAGTACCTGCTTATGTTTTGGTTTGCATTAAAATATCAAATTTGTGCATGCAGAAATTATTTGTCCAGTTTAAAGATGCATCACAACTTCATCTTTTTTCTGCAAAAGAAGCTCTCTTGGCATCCATACAAATTCTTTTGTGTTGCAAAAGGGACATTTGTATCAGCAGGAAAGGATAAAAGGTGTTGTTCTGACATTTCATCCACACAAATAAATTGTTTGTGTTACAGGAGGTGGCATCATATGTAGCACAGAGCTGCCCTGTGAAACTGCTAAGAAATAAACACATTTTCTATTGAAAATGTAGGATCTCATAGAATATGTCTTCATCAGCATCCTTCTCATATGCCATGTATGCAGGTGTGAAATTTGTAACTTCCTGAAATGCCAGCCACCCGGCCCTATGCTCTGAAACACCTGCCTGCTTATCACAACAGAGAAGTTGCAGAAATATGTGCTGGAATCAAGCCAATGGGGGGGGAAGGGCGATCTCTCTCTGCTGTAATTCTGAATGTGTTTAGCTTTGAGAAACACCGCTTCAAGATAAAAACTTTTGGAAGAAAAAGCCATAATATATTTTACTCAGTCTTTTTTCACACAGTGCCCTAGAGGTGTTGAGTTTGTTTGCTTTATTCTTTTAAGGAGTAAACAACAGAATTTTACCTTACCTGGAACCATCTGTGGGGGGTAGTAGGCCTGGCACAGCTTGCTGAAGAATGTGGTATGACCTGCTGCAGTCATGTTGTGCTGGAGACATCTGGTTTTGGAGCTTTAAAAAGAACAGGGTGGGACACAAATATTTCATTGTCAAATCTGAACCAGATGGGAGGTAAAATATGTAGCAGAGTCTTCATAAAATTCATCTGAAATTAAATGGTGTAGGAAACCAGACAAGGCACTTATTAGAAATGGCCTTTTTTTACAGGCTGACTTTGCACAGTAGGAATTTGCAAACGCATTAGGGATGCTAACAATTTGTGGCCTCTGGAGATCCATTTCCTGTAGTATTACTAACCATACTGGAGTTTTCAAGGGAACACCTGTTTATATTGTCTCCCTGTTCCCTCTGTTGGTTGAATTAGATTTTTCCACCTTGATGGTGATCACTGTATCACACTTGACTGTATCACTATGTGGTACAGCTTTGTAAAAGTTTTTCCTCTAGGTTTAAATCCTTGTTAGGATTCTGTGAGCTTTGTGCATAAAATGCTGTATCCCAGATCTCCTGGATAGGTAATGTCTCCTGATCCTAACAGGACATGTCCAGAGGTATGGAGAAGCCTAAACTATGAAGTTGTGAGAGTAATTTAATGCATAGTTCAGATCTGAAATACAGGTGTGAAATAACAGTCAGAAATTGCTTAATGCTTTTCTTCTTCAAAGCACTTTGCTAAGTATTCATTAACCCTTTATTGCTTGTTTAGATTTGACCTAAGCTTGTGGGTTTAAAACACAGATGTTTTGCTTCCGACCTTCTGTAGAGGTCACTAACAGTCCTTTCTCAGCAGCAGCCACCTACAAGCTGACTTTGTAATTAATATTATGGCGGAGTCTCTGTCGCTGCACAAACCATTACTCTATGGCAAACACTGATTGCATTCAAATATAGAATCATAGACTAGTTAGGGTTGGAAAGGACCTTAAGATCATCTAGTTCCAACCCCACTGCCATGGGCAGGGACATCTCTCACTAAACCATGTCACCCAAGACTCCAGGCAACCTGACCTTGAACACTGCCAGGGATGGAGCATTTCACAGATTCCTTGGGCAACCCATTCCAGTGCCTCACCACCCTCACAGTAAAGAACTTCTTCCTTATATCTAACCTAAACTTCCCCTGTTTAAGTCTGAGCCCATTACCCCTTGTCCTAACACTGTATGCCCCAGTGTTTTATTTATTAGACATTCCCAAGCCATGACTCCGTAATTGTAATACATCTAACACTCTTCCTAACATAACTGTCTCATGTAGCAATTTTACAAAATGTATGTGTATTCATTTATTAGTTTTAAGAAATAATATCTTGAAGTCAGCAAAAATTACATTAATTGGCATTGTTCAGTGTTAAAATCTATTATTTTTAAAAGGACTATTTCTTGTCCAGGCGTCTTAGAAGTTCCATATGCTTTTTTCTATATGAAATAAGCTCCAGGGTTTTTCTTCTTGTCTGTCCCCACCTCTCTCCCCATTTGGCCTGTAGGCAACAAACTAATACATATTAATCAGGAATTAAAAATGTGGGCTGTATACATACCAGCCTTAAAGAGAAATATAAAAATCTAATCCTGCACCTCTGAAGAAAAATAGTTCAGTGTCACAATGTGGCAGTGAATTTGAAGATAATTTTAGCTGTATCCAGTTATGCATTTCGTCCTGTTACAATGCACTTCTAGTGCTCTTGGAAGGTTGTTTTTTTTTTTGTTTTTTTTTTTTTTTACTTTCCTCTCTTCATCTGGTCTGTGTTGAGGGTGTTTAGAAAGAATTGAAAATAAAAAATTAGGGTCTGAATGGACTGGCTATAAAGATAAAGGGAGGCATTCACTATAACTGGTTGGAATGAATAGATAAACCTGCAGAAGAAAAGATGGTAGAAAGAGATGTCACAATGAGTTTTGAGTAGGAAAAATGATTGAGATAGGAGAAACTAATGAAGATTGGAAGGGCTTTTCATAGAGACTTCTCCTTTGCTGCCAGTCAGTCGTACGGGAGAAGCTCTAGCAATGTACCACTTTATATCTTTAAGGCAGAACGGGCATTTTTTGGATTAACATGCAGCCAGGAGCAGTTGTGCACCAGGAGAGGTGAATGACATGATGCACAGAGCATTTCCCACCACTCTGTGGTTTGTATTTGCATGTGCTTCCATGAGTAGGTTATGGCTGTTTTTTATTTACTTTCGAAAGATGTTGTTATGACTTTGTATGAGAGGCTGCGCTCAAGTGAGACCTGTAGCATTTGTCCAGATATAGCAGCGCATGAGGAGGAAAGTTTGCCTTGCAGTAGTCCCTTGCCCAGACAAAGCTTGAGAGGCTTTACAAATTGCACAGCTGCAAAGAGTTATGGGTATTTGTTATCCCTTGGTATCCTGACCATGTAAAACCTAATTCTTCTGGCCATTAGAGGTTGCCAAGAGGGAAATGGCTTGGTAATTAGACTTGAAAGTGATGAATGAACATGAGTCTGTGTAAATGCAGCACAGTCTGTTTGCTGAACTCAGAAAAATCTCTGTGCTTTGGAAATGGGACATTGTTTATATAAGTAGGATTTTTAGAATTTTTGGGCAAGAGACATATTTGTTCCTTTTCTTATTTTTCACAAGCAAAGCATTTTCCCCTTTAACTGCAAATCTTTGTAATGTAAGATGGAAAATGTTGTAGACTAATGTGAAAGACACAGATAAATTCCATTTTCAAGGCAGGAAGTTGGGGGGGTGGGGTGGTGAATGGACAAAATAAATACCTTGCATTTGAATTGCAGAGACCAAAACAAGTTGGTAGATGAATAATGCTAACCTTTTCAGAGTGAGGGTAGAAATGACAAAATAAAGGGACTTTGGTTCCAATAACCCAAAACTACAATATGATGATGTTTTCTTGTATACTGGGGAAGATAGCTACATTCCTAAGCTACAGTTTAAATGCTCAGAACCTCTGGAAGACGTACTGTTTTCACTTTAGGTATTTAAATATTTGCAGTCTTAACTTTTAAGGCCTTCAGGCTTCTAAATGAAGCTGTGAAGAACAGCAGCCTCTCTGCTGTGCCACCTCTGCTTTCAACAGGGACTGTGATAAATCTTCCAGTATTAAGCCAAGCTGTCTCTCTGGAATATTTTAGCACATATATTGTACGCTTTAGCACATACTACACTGTACACCTGAATATACCATTGCATTTTCAAATCTGTGCAAATTCCATGGTGTAATCTGCAGCCTCTGTCATGAAGGAGGTCACTGTATTGAATTTTATCAATGAAATCTAGGGGCTGGAACCCGCAGGTATGTAGTGAAGTGACATTAGGTAGGATAGAAAACCTATGGGGCAGAAAACCACCTTGCACAGGGTAAATTATCAGTTGTATAGCTGGAGAAGAGATATTGTCACCCTGCTGTTACTCATGCTAAGGCTAAAGAATACACGGAAGAAATGGAGTTTCCCTGTGCCATGCTTGCATTGTGGGTGACCCAATTCTAGCAGCTGGCTCAGTTAGGTAAGAAGCTTTGTGTTTCTGGATTCTGTTGGCACTGGTTGTCCCTGAACTGGGGAACATCAGCTAGATTCCCTGCAATATCTGAGTTGTGTTTGG